GCCCCCCCCCCCGCCTCCAATTGCTGCCTTTAATACAGAAGAAGCAAGAAGAGGGGAGTGAGCAGTCAACTCAACTAAGAGATAAGCCTAGGCTTATCAGGTAGTTGATGCCTCACTTTTATTCCCATTCCCCACCAGCCACACCCCAGAGTCCACACACCTTTACGCTGGAACCCTCAGCCCCATCCTCATTAATTTTTTCCCCCCCCCCCGCCTCCAATTGCTGCCTTTAATACAGAAGAAGCAAGAAGAGGGGAGTGAGCAGTCAACTCAACTAAGAGATAAGCCTAGGCTTATCAGGTAGTTGATGCCTCACTTTTATTCCCATTCCCCACCAGCCACACCCCAGAGTCCACACACCTTTACGCTGGAACCCTCAGCCCCATCCTCATTAATTTTTTTATGTGCACCAATATGAAGGTGATTTGTCACACCACCTTCATAATGGTGCACATCAAATTCATTCCACACAGGGATAGCAAAAATTAGAGGAAATACTACTCCAGACTGCACAGTGCAGCTCAGGAGAGTAAACCACAGTGCCCAGAAGTGCAGCCTTGATGTAACTTTGAGCTATTATAGGAAAGCCACAGCAAGATACCCTCCCTTGGGAGCAGAAAGGATTGCACAGGATCTTCCCATGGTCAGCTATGTTGACTTCACAGCCAATCTACTTATATTATGAGCACCAAAGGAGCTGACGTTTTTAACTACTGGTTTTTCTTCAAACTTGGGTTCTTCACATAACTTGGCAGTTATACTTTTTACTAGGGGTGTAAAAACCTGTATAATCAGTTAAACAGTTAAATGTTATGTTTAATCAGTGAAGCACTTAAACAGAAGATGGACAGGGGGCCCGCTGGGCTGGAATGGCTCCCCACTGCAGGCAGGGGCTCCTCTGGCCAGGCTGGAGTTCTCTCCAACCGCTCACAGTGGACTGGGCCTGGCTGGTTAATCATTCACACTCGAACTTTTTACTTGTCAATACTTTTTTTCTTTAAATCAAGTTTTAGATTGTTAAAGAGTTTCTTTCCTCCATCTCTTCCCCGCTCCAAAAACATTTTTTTCCCTTGGGAATACGAACTAACTGGTAAGTGGTATGCAGGAAGCTAA